AAAGAGTGTTTGACACAGCTATAGCAACATGCAAGCACTCACCCTTAGCTACACAAAAATACACGTGCACCCAGACATAGACACCAGCTATAAATTAGTTTTCTATCAAAAATGTACCTCTTTGCTTGACAGAAAATTCATTAAGTATCACTGGTATGCATAAATCATTCTGCATCCACTGTCATGATAACTTTTCAATAAAATAATAAATTAGAATGGATGGCATTAATAGATTCACTCTCAGCTTGACCTGGGTGCAGTCAGATGCAGAATGGAATTTTCTTAACAGGTCTTAGGAGAAAGACTAATATAACACACTGCATTTACTCACAGACATGTTCAAAAATAGCACTAGAAATGCTATACTGAACTTATATCTGGAAATAGTCACCCATGCAGAGAAATTCAGGTAGTCAGAACTAACAAGAAGCTGGAAAACGCATAGATATAATTCTATAGGAAAAAGGAATAGCTGGTGGGAACAACCTGACTATATACTAGAGAGAGGGAATTCTCTCAACCATAAGGATTGTGATGATTATCAGATGGTTTGGTATAGGAGAGGTTTCCTGCTAATACAATATAATTTGGGGACATACATAAATATAATCATGTACCATCTTTCTGCTAAGTATTATTAAGTCATTTCTTTGTAACTACTTTTCGATGGTTTTATATGACCCTGGATAGGAAATATTGACTCCCTGAGATGGAGCCAGGGAAGTAGTCATGTAACAGACTGAATGAGGAACATGAGAAAGGAATCTGGGAATAGGATGTAGTAGATTGGAGAGAAAGAACATAGGACAAGTAACTGGTGGGACAAAGAGATTTAGATAAAGGACTTAGGATATAAGAGGCTAAAGCAGTTTGGGCAAGGAGATGGGGACAAAGATGAGAAGCCTGGACAGTGAGACCGGGACAGTAAAGAAATTAGGACTGAAACAAGGAACTAGAAGTGGAGGAGAGAGAGATAGGAACAGGGCAGGGTGGATCAGAGGGAACAGGGCAAGCATGGCAGAAAGAGCTGGAAGTGTCTTTGCCCACTTAAGCACACTTCTGTACAGAACCTGAAATACAACACAAAAGTTTCCTGAGTCTCACAGTTAAGTATATGCATTGTGATATAGTCTCTAGTTACCTAATTGCATTCTATTTTTTCCATAAGATTTCTACCTCCTTCAGCACAGAAGATGGACGTGCTTTAGGAGGAGATCAGTGTTGTAATCTCCACCTAGGTTCTCCATCTATAAATGGGATTGATATCACTTCCTCATGTCACATGGTGTTGTAGAGAGAAATTCACTGATGTCTGCAATGAACTCAGGTATTTTAAATGAGAACCCAAGAAAATTACTAATCCTCAGTAATTTTTCAGGGCAGGGCTTGAATGGTGTACAGTAAGTAAGATCTAGAGTTATGCACTGATCAATGACGATGAAACCAAATACTGAGAAGTTGTCCATTAACTGTTCACTGTCCATCTTGTGCACTAAAAGAGGGTAGGGTTTTGTGGAAAAACAGCATATGATCTTCTACTTAAAGATTGTGTCATAATTCATATGCAGAAAGAGATCTAACGAAGGTTATACCATTAACTTTAGTTCTGGCATTTCCAACTTCTGAGCACTTGCCTTTATATCTAATAAGGTTTCTTTAAGATAGCTTTTTATGTATATAAAACAAAATGGTATTATGTATCTTGACTTGAGCACCTGACCACGTTTCAGATAACAGGGAGTGTTAAATAAATTATACAAGTGTTACAGTAAGCTACTTCAAATTCACCTCTCCAGGCAGGATTCAGCAGTACTAAGGTGCCTGAGCTCAGGTGATTAGCCCTGTGTCTGCAAAGGTGATTAAGGCTGCCTGCAGATGTTAAAAAATAAAACAAAACAAACCGCACTTTACCAGAAGCAGCAGCACATTACTTTGACCTGACTCTGCAGTGCCTGTATAGATCAGGCACTTCACTGGGGCTTTTTGGTGCTTATGTAAAGCTGAGTCAATCAGCTATTAATTGCGAGGTGGGTCCAACTAACACACTGCCTCTTCTGAGCATGCTCTGTGCTCAGCGTGGGAGTGTGCAGATTTTAAAACACCATGTTTTGTTTTGTTTTTTAACGTCGCAAGCAGCCTTAATATTTTAGCTAAAGCTATTCAACTGAGAGCCAGTGCTCAAGCATCTTAGTTAAAGCACTTTACATTTCCATCTCTTTACTGAGTCCTAATGAATTAATGGGGAATCTAGAAAATATTCAAATTTGTAAGCCTGTGACCAAAAGATTTTTCAGGTCAGATGAGACAATCTTGGGAATGCTTAGATCCAGGGAACTGACCCAGCAAGTAGCAGGGTAATTCTAAGAACGACAGTCCACCTTATAGGCTTATCCCACCGTGTATGAATTTCGTTCCTTCTTCACTTTCCATTAACTCTGTTTCATAAAAAAGAAAATCTGGAGAAATTGTTCAGACCCCCCGGTGTCTTGATGTTAAGATTGCTCTAACACAGGGGTGCTCAACCTTCAGCCCATGGGCTAGATCTGGCCCATGGCCCTGTGTCATCCAGCCCACAGAGCTCTCCACAGGTCTAGAAATTTGACGGCAGGAGAACAGTGCCATCACTCCCCTACTGCTGAATAGCCAGACCCACTGGGCCCGGTTCCTGTTCCTAGCATGTGGGCAGCAGAAGCGAGGAGTGCCAGGCTCCTGGGACCCAATCCTGGCACACAGGGGTGGCAACAGAACCCCAGGGACCAATCCTCCTACCCGGGCCCAATCCTGGCACCTTGGGCAGGGAGGGAGTGGTGCTGGGCCCCAAGGCCAGATCCAGGTCACAGATGAGCCCTGCACCATTTGACTAACCTATAGGCCAGAAGGTTGAACACCACTTCTCTAACATATCACTGTTGCTAAATGTGGTTCTATTCTTTTTGCTATGTTTCCAGCCTGTAAACTTTTGCAACTGTTATATGGGCTACCCTTGCCCTTCTTTCCGACATCTGTTTCAGACCCTTCTTTTTCTTTAGAAGTATAGTAGATCTTGTACAAATCAGAGATGCATTAGTATGCCCTTTTAGTTTATTACAGAGGGTTAAATCCGGCCTTTATTAAATAAGGGTAGAAAATAATTTTGTCCTACAGGACTGTTAATAAGGATACCTCAACTATTCTCAACATTTCTACAATTCCCTTTTACCTTGGTCAGTCAATGAAGGTGCAATTCTGTTGAAACCTATGCTTTCAGTGGGAATCCCAAGCAAATGGTGACTTCAGAATCAAGTGCTCACCCTCTTTAGGCCTTTATAATTTACAAACTTGACATAAAAAAGGCAATCATCTATATACCCACTTTCAAAAAGTACAGTAGACACTTCCATTTTCTATTTATATATAGATTTGTGTTCCTAATTTTGGACACAGGACTTAAAAACCAGGTTAACAGAGTAATAAAGCAGGGATAAAGTTTCCCTACTCCAGTGATGCAGTCCATCTTAATTAGTAGCTATTAGCCAATCACAGACACCCTTGCAGCAAGCGAGGGTATCAAATTTTCTAGAGTTTCTCCACAACTTGATATTTCTTAATTTCAGGAGTAAAAATTACACCGACGTAATGGTTCATGGTAGCCAGATTATGCTTTCTTTTTAAAATCCCATTACCAAAAACAATCAGTGCATTATTCTGAGCTGGGTTATTCTTAATATCTAAAGATGCAAAAGCTATATTTCATGGAAGTGGCACTTCTTTGTTAATTTGTAAGGATTTTCTAATCAGAGTAAAGAAAATTTACACACCAATATAGATTGTCCAAATTAATGACGTTGGATTTCCACTATGCACTGACACTTTACAAAAAACAGCAGCAGAAAATTGTTCATTAAAAGGGAAGTAAATTTAAAGCAAATGAATGGACAAGTTCCAGATATGGTGCCTATATCTACAAAATTAGAATTTATCATTTAGGATTAAAATTAGATTTTTTTGCATAAAAATAGGCCTCTGAAAATTAAGGCAAACACCATTAAATTACAAGGTCAGTATTAAAGGATAAACTTGCGTATGGCTATTGCTCAGTACATTTACCTTCTCCTCTATTTCTTTGAGTTGCCGCTTTTGAAGTTCTATTTTATCTTCTAGCTCTCGAATCCGCTGAAACAAATCAAAGCAGAAGAAATTTGTTATTTTTCAAACTAATGCGTGTCCAGGAAATGTAAATCATATATATATATTTTTTTAATGGATGGAAATATGCTCATTGATACAAAACTCTTTCTGCTGAGAAATTTATATAGACATAATGTTATGGATCATTGGATACGTCATTATCTGCAGTAAATAAGAATTTACTGGCAGAGGATATGCCTTTCCGACTAAACACCTACCACTGCATTCACTCTAGCTTTTATAGCGTCACTACACATCTATGTGATACACTTGGACTTTCCTAGTAGTCATTTCACATTGAGATTTAAGAAGCAGCTTTATAGCTGGTCATTTGTAGATAAGCTTGTGCTGAGTGAAAGAGGCAGAAGACTATTTGCCTCACCTCAGCCTCTTGACCACCTAAACTTGGACTCAGTAACAGATCCATTCATCTAAAACCTGGAAAAGACTCAGTTGAACATCCAGTCTTACTTCCTCCATAATACATGAAAGAGCCTTACCTAATGCTTGTTGCATCAATCCCATAATTCTTTTGAAGGTATAGCATAACATTTATAAAGATTCTACACTGAAATAGATATCAAACTCATGGACAAATGTCTATTGTTACATCCTGTCTATTACAATACATGCAGAGAGAAGTAGTTAGCAGTGTTGGTCTGAAGTCAGGCTGATATATTTGCACCTGGTAGACTATAGACAAATTAGAGATGTATAGCATAAGCTTTTGTGAGCTGACTTCATTGACAGTTAAAACATAGGATTATCTTGAAATTCACAGAGATGGGAATATGTCACAACAGACCTATTTATTTATTTATTCATTATTGTTTATTTTAATTATTTTTTATTTATTTATTTAGAAAGGAATTATCTCTAAGTCAAGATAGGTTCAAATATCTGAACATATCTGTATTTATTAGGGCTGTACGAAGCTTTGGTCGCTGATTTGATTCGGCAGACATTTGTCCCAATTTAGCAGCCGAATCTCCAAATCCGAATTGAATCAGGAAACCCTTTAAGCTCTCCAAATCAAACTGGAACCCTTTGAATTAGAACCCTTTGAATTGATTTGGAGAGATTCAGACATAGACATAGCTTTATATGTTTTTCTATATACCTCAAGGTACCAGGCATCTTGTGAATGCTGAGGTGGATGGAGCATCCCACAGGAATGCAGGGGTGGGGTGTCCCCCCAGAAAACCCGGAAGTAGACCAGAAGCACTTCCAGTCTACTTCTGGGTCCACCACAGAGCACGCAGGGAACCCCCTCCACACTCCACACCCCCCAGCTTGGTGACTGGTACCTCTTGGGTCTGGGGAGCACCCAGGGTTACCCCATAGCCGACTGCCAAGCCAAGGGCATGTGGGGGGGTCCCACACCAAGCACATGGGCCCCCCCCCATGCTCCTGTGAGATGCTTCATCCGCCCCACCATCTCAGCACTCAAGAGCCATGCCTAGTACCTTAAAGTATGTAGAAAAAGCATTTAAACTATCTCTATGGCTGAATTGCTGATTCCCCAAATCAACATCGAATCTTCAGATTTGGATTCGGCTGAATTGAATTAGCACAGTGATCCAAATCAACAAATCGAATCACTATCCCCCAAATTAGACTGAATCAAATCAAATATGGCCCACTTCACACACCCCTACTATTTATCCCTGTTTAAGATGGTATTCTGTACACATGTATATGGACAAGTGGCCAGCAATAGCATCTACAAAAGCACAAGGTCATTTGCAGACATTCAAATAATCATGCGATGGGTTCTGATACTGCAGTCTCACGAGTTGAGCCTCCTGCCATGCCACATGTCCCTTGCAGGATGCACAATTATAGGGATCAGGGACAGATCCCAATTAGTCAAGTGATGGCATCTTTGCTGCCAGTTGCAGTGGAAGAGAGACTCCTTCGGGTGCTAGGTGTAGGGATCAAGGCTTCCAATTAGCAGAACCAAGGTGTTTTTGTATGTGGGGTTTAAAATCCCCAGCAGGGGGATCCCCTTGGCTCTGCCCATTGGGATTCCTGATCCCCAACACTCAGCAGCCCCAGGAGGTTTAAACTCTCTGCAGCTCCCCTCCCTTGGAACCAGGGCTGCCCCAGGCCAGTTGGAGACCTGGGGCTGTCCTGAGGCTGGTGACAACAAATCTGATGACTAGAGACCCAGAGATGTCCCAGGCTAGTGTAGACAATCAGCTGGTTGTCAGCTCTTGGCTGGTTGGACACCCAGGGCTATTAGGGACTGATTTTGACAATCAGGTCCTTGGCATGTATGTGATATGTGGACTGGCCACACATTCAATTTCAGACACCATAAAAACCAATCTCAAAGATGTTCAACATGACATATGGAACATCTTTGTGGCTGGTTTGCCATTTTACGGTCCTTTAAAATGTCACTGTTGCCATTATGGCACAAGTAACCTGTGAATTGCATGATAAATGTCATGCGCGCCAGGAGCCTTAACCTTTCTTTCATTCTTGATTTTAAACATTGTGCAAGTGGACTAAAACTCTCATTGTATCATGCTGCATTATAGAGACATTGACAGATATAGTTATTTCCAAAATAATTGGAAAATACAAACCAAGTTGCTGCTATATAAGAAGCAAATAGACCTTTGATTGCAATAACAAATCCCCTAAGCAAAGTTGAAATAATGTCACTCTTCCTTTATTAGATTTGAATTGATTCAAACTTAATCCAGTGAGGCAAGTCTATCAAGTGATCATTTTTATGCATAATTCAAGGATTATGCTGTCACCAGCAAAAAGCAGCCTTCATTATGAGAAACTAAACTAAGCCTGAGGGGCTGAGGACCTAGAGACAATATGCTGAGGGGTGAAGGAATCACTCTCGTAGACTGTGGCAGCCTCCCAAATTTAAAATAACAACAAAAGGTGTGTCAGGAGAGCACAGGTAGGTACCCTGGTTTACTAGAGAGGAGAAGAAACAGTAGTGTAGTGATGTGTAGTGAGGTGACACGTCTGCCTTCAGTGATGGTTTTCATTATACCAGGGATGGGCAAAATACAGCCCACAGGCCAGATCCAGCCCACCAATTGATTGGATCCAACTCACAGGATCCAGAGCTCTGCTACAAGCTGAACCCCATCCACCCACTCCCCCACAACCACCCAGGTCAGCCTGTGCCTCACTCCCAGCCATGCCCACCAGGCCTAGTCCTGGCCAGCACACACAGCTTCCCAGCAGGGCTGCTCCCGGTGTCATCTAGGTACTGATCAGTTCCCCCCGCTTCCAGTGGCTCCTCCTGTCCCTGGTGCACTGCTTCAGGTCAGGGGGAACCTGCAACCTGATGGCTTCAAAATAAAATTAAATTATTTTATAGTAGGTGCTTGATTTTTAGTATACGATTTGTTTTATCCAGGATTTGTTAAAAAGATATCTTCTAAAAGATTTTGTGTGTGCGGCCCTTGACAGCTCACCTAAACTTGTTAGGTGACCCTTCAGCCAAAATCATTTCTCACCCCTGTATTATACCCACAGAATAACTGAGGAGGGATGACCAGGACAGCAGGCAGTACCACCTTTGGGAAAGGGTGCAAAACCAGCTGCCACTGCATCTGGTGACTGGCTACGCTGCTGCAACCAGAAGTATAGCAGCCAGTGCTGCCCAGAGGACAAAGCTGCCCTTTACCCCTCTGGTGCAACCTGATGGCTACCTCTGTCAAAAGGTATAAAACTATGTAACGTGTGTGTGTGTTGTTGGAGAACAGAGGTGAGAGGGTTCATATAGAGGGAACTGCGCCCTCTCAACTCTATCCTCCAATAATGGTTTAAAATGTTTCACTTACATATGAAAGCTTAAAATATAAATGAGCCAGACTAATGAAACAGCAGCATCTACAGAAGCTGTGATTATCTAACATGAAGTAATACCAACAAAAAAGAAATTGTCCTTTAAAATTATATAGATGATGACAATGATGATTAAGTGGCCAGAGATAAAAGAGGCAGATGGACAACTGGAGTGGTTTCATGCTTTGTTTAAAGATTCCACTACTGGTAAAAGTCAAAAAGAAGATTTTGGACTAGATGAGCTAGTATTCTAGTCTTATAACCCTTACAGCCCTAAAGTTAAGAGCCATCCATTGGGCTGCATGAGTGTCCATGTTAGGCACAAAATAGACAGTAGCATACCTAGGGCAGGGCAACCAGGGCTGCTGCCCCAAGAACGTACTTTCTGGGTGAGAGAAGGGGAAAAAAATGTGTAATTATACTGGAAGCATGAAAACAGCTAACCGCATGTGCTGCAGCTTCCCCAGCAGCCAGTTGTGTTATTACATCTCTAAAAATTCATTAATGTCATGTCCTCTTATTGCTGATGGTGGAAGGAGATGCAAAATGGAGATGCAAAGAGCTGCAGTCAGTCAAATATTTGTGCAATGAGGCCTACTCGCCTGAAAAAGGTGAATAGACATCAGTAACAATGTCAGCACCAATTCTTAATATGATTTACCACACTTGCACTCAAATAATCATGCAGTAAAAAAAAAAAAGTATTCCATCAACTAATTTTGTTAATAGCGATGGAAATGTCAATGAGCAAGGCTCACAATACCTACTGTTGGAAGGTTTGTAAATGGGACCCTGCTAACCATTCCCAGCATGGCCATTCCCTCCACCCATACATCCCACAAAGATCCCACAGGTCGCTGTAATGTTGCAAGTAACTTTATGCTGGTCCACCACAACAGGGTGAATAGCATGTTCATTGGTATCCTTTGGGCTGGAAGGTGGGGGAGGGCAGGATTTCCTGTCATGTTGAACAGGTGCTACTAAGTAGAAGCAACTGTACAAAGAACCTACTGCTGTACCAATATCTTCCAGCAGATGTCTCTGCGAGTCAACATAGGATAGCAACTTGCAAGTACAGTTCAATCATTAGAGATTATACAAATATAAAATAAAATCTAACTGGCTTGACAGACCAAAAATGCTTCAGAAATTAAACCTAC